GAGGGGGGGGGGGGCAGCCAAAAAAACACTGGTTGATTCGGGGGGGCCTGCTAGAAAATTATGAAGGGCCACCCTGTTTTCCACCAGCGCCCCCTCCCCTCCCCCCCAGGTAAAAAATGATCAGTTCCCTATTTAGTTCTAGTAATTTTTCGGGTTTTTAAACTGTTGTCCCTCGAGGTCACTTTTTTAAAGTCGGTAAAAAAAGGGACAAAATCCCTCTACCCCGACCGAGACCGAAAAGGTTTATTCAATAGAATCTTCGTCATAAAAGAAATTTTGAACTTCAAGCTAAAGGCTCGTAAAGGCTGCTGAATTTTCAAACATTTAAAATTAATTTACTCAGTAATTTCACTAGAAAACAGCGAAATTACTAAATGGATCGTTTTATAATATCGTGAATGTCGAGACCTAACTTCCGGTAGTCTGTAGATCCAGTTAATTGGGCTTCCTTTATTATTGGGGAATGGTGAGGACTAGGAACGAGGAAGAGGCGTAGTCTAAAAATAACCCGAGTGGAACGCCATTTTTTTGTTTTTTCTTTTTGTTTTTCTTTTTTTCTTTTTTTTGTGGGAGAAGAAAAATTTTTCGATAAAACTGTTTGTGAGTCTGATTATTTCTAGACTTGTAGACTTCAAGAATAATGAGAATAAAGCTTTATAAACTATTCTCAAAAATGTCTCACGTTTTCTAGGAAATGAGTGCGCAATGAATTCTAGGATTGATTGAATTAGTGTGACCAATATGGCGTCGTAAAAGATAAAGAAATTGTGTTTTCTACTTAGAAAAAAGATCACGATGAGCAATTCTGTTAGCCTTAAGGTTGTCTTTGGAAATTCACTTGCATGGAGTAACTACATGAGACTTTCAATGCTGTTAATATCTGGAGGAAAAAGAGTTCTAAGAGAATTGTTTGATTTCTTTATTCCTCCAGAAAATCTAGCAAATGCTCTAGAAAAGAATCGTCATATCTTAGAAACAATGAAGGAGAGGGGAATGATAACGACGTATCAATGGGAATTGCTGTTTCCCCCTTCTGGCTCTCATGTTAGTTCAGGTTCTTGGAATCTTGCTTTACTTTTTAAGCTTCTTAGAAATGTCTGCGATTTACCGCCACCACCTAATGGTTGGGATCGCCTACCAAACAGTAGCGATATGTCTTTGTCTGCAGACCTGGCAAGATTGAGGCACTATAGAAATATGATTGTCCATCAAATGGAGGGTATAACCGATGAGGAGTTTATACGCAGGTGGGAAGAAATCAAAAACGCTTTACTGAGGATCGTACATTT